GTACACATGATCGATCATCCCTTGCTTGTAATAAACATATTATAACTTCTTTTCTAGACTTCTACTATATAGTTAACTCAATTTCTATCTCACTCTTTTTTTCTCACAAATAAATGTTTCCTTTTTGTTTCCATTTTCACCTTCTTAAATGCCCAATATGAATGTTGATGATGTTATTGTAATTTATATTAGGAAGAGGTGAAACTAAAACCCAACGTAATAATATCTTTTATTATTATTATTATTATTATTATTATTATATACTATCTCCGTCCCGCTAAGATTGTCTCATTTTACCTTTTCGGAAAATTCCACTAAGATTGTCTCATACCATATTTGATAAAGTTTCTGTGGTTCTTAATCATTCTTACTGTATCAATTCAATATCAACAACATAAACTCACTTTTCTTAATAATCGCGTCATCTTCTCCCGTCCCAATGTTAGTGGGACGGAGGTAGTATAAAAAAAGGGGACCGGCTGGGAATAACTGTTCCCGCTAGTCACCTAGGTCACCTTTTTGTCACAAAAACGTCATCATCCTATTATGCCGCTAACAATTTCATTTGGCATTTTCTCTAAGTAGTTTCCTTCTCGACGTTTCACTTGGCTTCAACAAGCACGTAACTATGACCGTGTTTAATGGAGCGGTAGTAATTGGCATGATGCACTAGAGTGGTAGTAACTGAAACGTAGTGGTTATTGAGCGGTAGTAACTGTGACGGTAGTAACTGAGCGGAAGTAACTGGGGCGCTAATAATTGGGACGTTGGTCACCGGAACGGTAGTAACTGGAACGATGATCACTGAGCCGGTAGTAACTGCAACCATTTTTACATAAATTATAGTTTAAGGAATTAAACATTTTGCATTGTGAGATAATTTTAAAATCAAAGGAAGCATGAAATAATTTTTAAATCAGAAGAAGCATTAATGATTAGAGGGCATTATTACCGATACTCTTATGGAGTGCAATACTTCGTATTACGGAATGTCGGAATTAAGCAATGCAGAGTGCGGCTGTGCGGATGAGTGTTGTACACTTGAGGAGGGTAATTTAGGGAAATAGGTATTTATTAGTCACATTTTTGGAAACTTAGAGAAAATGTCTCTTTTTTGTCCATGGTCTATATTTTAGTAATGTTGATGTCAAAACCCCCTTTGAAAATTTGCCTTTTTAAAGATTCTTAGTACGTTTTAGAATGAAGTTAGACATGGACACACACTACAATTGTCTAATTCATTGTTTATAAATTTTATAATCAATCTAATATTCTCATAAAACTGAGAGTTCTGTTTAAGCTTCTTACTCGACATTTGATTATAATCTTTTAGTCACATAATTTAACTATTTAACTATATCTATAATACTAACAAGGTGTTGATCTTGCTTTCCCGCCCATGCACCATATATGACAAATCTATACATTAATTGGTGCACACTCAATGACACAAATATAATGGCATACATAGTTTAATCATTAATAATAGTAAAATACATATAAAATAGACTTTAAGTAGACTACATCAAATCGGGCCGGTTCGATGAGACCAAACTAGACTAAATTATGGATTTAGATTCACTATCGCACGACAATGGCAACAAGGGAGTAGAGCTCTGGGATAGCCAAAATTGAATAATGTGGCTAGATATGAACAACATGCACCCTATATGGCTGCCAAAGCCATGCAGAGAATCTAGATCCCTATATGAGAGCATTGATTTTCATACTAAGTATGTAATCTGCAGATTCGTATATCTATGATACAATTAAATTTTTCTCATAAATTTTGCCGTGCAACGCACGGGTAATTAATCTAGTCTACGTAATCTGAAATGATACATCTATAATAGTAACAAGGTGTTGATCTTGCTTTCCCGCCCATGCACCATATATGATAAATCTATACATTAATTGATGCACACTCAATGACACAAATATAATGGCATACATAGTTTAACCATTAATAATAGTAAAATACATATAAAATAGACTTTAAGTAGACTACATCAAATCGGGCCGGTTCGATGAGACCAAACTAGACTAAATTATGGATTTAGATTCACTATCGCACGACAATGGCAACAAGGGAGTAGAGCTCTGGGATAGCCAAAATTGAATAATGTGGCTAGATATGAACAACATGCACCCTATATGGCTGCCAAAGCCATGCAGAGAATCTAGATCCCTATATGAGAGCATTGATTTTCATACTAAGTATGTAATCTGCAGATTCGTATATCTATGATACAATTAAATTTTTCTCATAAATTTTGCCGTGCAACGCACGGGTAATTAATCTAGTCTACGTAATCTGAAATGATACATCTATAATAGTAACAAGGTGTTGATCTTGCTTTCCCGCCCATGCACCATATATGATAAATCTATACATTAATTGATGCACACTCAATGACACAAATATAATGGCATACATAGTTTAACCATTAATAATAGTAAAATACATATAAAATAGACTTTCAGTAGACTACATCAAATCGGGCCGGTTCGATGAGACCAAACTAGACTAAATTATGGATTTAGATCCACTATCGCACGACAATGGCAACAAGGGAGTAAAGCTCTGGGATAGCCAAAATTGAATCATGTGGCTAGATATGAACAACATGCACCCTATATGGCTGCCAAAGCCATGCAGAGAATCTAGATCCCTATATGAGAGCATTGATTTTCATACTAAGTATGTAATCTGCAGATTCGTATATCATGTACAATTAAATTTTTCTCATAAATTTTGCCGTGCAACGCACGGGTAATTAATCTAGTCTACGTAATCTGAAATGATACATTACCAATACATTGGGCAACAATTGCACGAAGTCATAGATATAAATATATATAACTATGACTTCGTGGGTATGAAAATATAAGGATGTTTTCTTTTGGGTCGTTCTCGGTCCCAGATCATAACAAACCAGACTTAAACAAACCAGACAAGACTTAAACAGAACTTAAAAAGAACAGACCATACTAGATTTGGATAATTATAAAATATACAAAGACTAGACTTTACTTTACCGGATCAGGCAAGATTTAAATAGACTAGAGCAGCAAATTTCAATCTAAAAGAAAACATCCTAATTGAGAGTACAGAGATTTAGAATTTGAGACTATAAGTGAGTAGGAGAATAGGAGGTGTAAGAAAATTATGAAAAATGATGGTATTTATAGTTGGGGTTATGTCAAAAGTATTACTAGAAAAAGAGTTTTGGACAAGAAAGTGACCACCGGTAAAAGACTATTATACCCCCTTATTTCACTCACTAATGCTACAATAACGATATAGTGACCAAAACCTGATAGTGACCAAAAATTAAAAATTAGTTTGTTACTACAGCCCATTGATCACTCGGGAAGTGACCACGGTCGGTCACAGTGACCACCCGACTCATCCAGTTACAGTTACCGAACCTACCCAATTACAGTTACATGAACCACAATTACAGTTATTTGATCCGTCCCCAGTTACAAATATCCGACCCATCCAGTTACAATTACCCGACTCGTCCAATTACAGTTACCCGACCTGACCAATTACAGTTACCCGACCCAATAATGACCAATGCTGCCACCACCTTCGGCCACAATCGGCAAACCGCCGCCGCCATCCTCAGCCCCCTAAGTCCCCCAGCCCCACCTCACCTAGCCCCCCTATCTCACCCAGTCCCCTGCGTGACCCAGCTCTTGTGTCACCCAACCCCATGCCTCACTCATCCGCATCCCCAGCTCCACCCCAGCCTTGCCCTCCCCCGCCACCCCGCCACTGTAAGTTTTCCACCACTTCGACTGACACAGGCCTACTAGGCTCACCACCGCCCAATCCAAACAGACCTTAGCCAGAACCCTAACCGTCTAGTTCAAATCAGGAGTGTAGTCGCCGCAACTAAGCTCGAGCCATCGTTGTTCAATCATCCCCGATCGTACGAGCAAAGGAGAAGAAAAGTAAGAGAAGAAGAAGCAAAAGGACGAAGGTGCAACACGATCGATGGCGACGGTGAGGGCAACAGAGATGACGAAGGCAATAGAGACGGCGAACGCAACAGAGACGGAGAAGATGAGGGCAGCAGTGATGATCCTCCTCTTGCTAATGGTGGTGTCTCCAAGTCAAAGTAGGGAAGAAGGCACACGGGACCGGAAAATGGCGAGTAGATGATTTGTTAGAGCTAAGGGGCACTTAAGTCCATTCATATCCTTTTTAGTCCATACGAAAGTTGGTCCTATTTTTGTCATATCAGAACCCTATTTTTGCCATTCTTTCTTTATAGTTTTTCCCCACACCTAAGACCCCCCTAACCCCCCACCCCAACGACTATAAGGCCCCCTGAATTTGAAGACCAAAAAAAACCAAAGTGGCCATTGGGATCTGAACGCCCAATTCGCTCCCAAAAATTTCGACCTGAAATCTGAACACTCACCCGAGTACCCGATCTTGATTCGAGACTGCCCGAACGGACCCCATCCAGTCCCAAATAATACCAGACCGGGTCCATGCCTAAAAGTAGGGATGGACCCGGCCGGTCCGATTCTGATTCCGGGCTCGGGTGGGCTTTTTTTCCAAATTGTTGGGCCCGGAACCGACCCAAGTCAAGGTAATTTTTTTTTGTTTTCTAATTAACCCTCGACCCCCCCCCTCACCCCCACCCCCCAATCCCCCCAAAACACCCATCCCTAACCAAGAAAAACAAAACAAAAATGAAAACACAAAAAAGAGCCCGGGCCCGGCCCGATCCACCCAGGCCAGTTCAACAAATATAGGGTCCGAGCCCGACCCGCCCAACCCTCCCCAATTAGGTAAAAGCCCAGGTCCGGTTAGCACCAACCGGCCCGGTCCGGGTCCGCACAGTGGCAGGCCGGGCCGGTTCTAGGCCGGGCCGAACCGGTTGGGTCCATCCCTACATACAAGAGAGTCAATGGTCGGAGCAGGAGTTTGGGATTGAACATCTGAACTCGCCAAAGCCTCTCAATTTTAAGAGTGATGAAACTGTGTTAGAATGTGGAAGTACATATTTAGATTAGTTCGACAAAGCCGTGAATTAATAGGCCAGAAACTATCATTTAGCCACACAAATAGATATATAGGCTTGAAAGCTTTCTCTGGTCATAGGCCAGTGGTGCTTGTTTTTCCGGTTTCATCCATCACCAACCAACACAAACAAATACAAATACCCGTGTTAATAGTGAGATTAGTATTTTTTGCGTGGAGGCGTGGGCATTACCAAAACTTGGACAAGGCCATTTAAATGACGGGAAAGGGTAATCTCTAGAAATGATTAAACAAGAAGTGAAAGACCCTTCTTTTTTTCTTGTAGAGGTGGGATGAGTGTCGTCTTGTTGCCAGGGAAAGCAGCTCTGGAGATGTCAACCAAGGCTTTGAAGCTATATGGTTCGTGCATTGATATCTCAGATAGTACCTTTCTGTTGAGTTGCACATTTTCCTTCACCAACCCATGGATAAAGTTACCATAATTCACCTGCGAAGTAATATAGTGAATACAGTAGAAGAGAAAAGGATTAAAAGGGTCGTGTCATCATCTTCTTAATCATCAACACATATAAGTATATGAGGTATATCTAATCTCATAATTACTACTATAAAATTACGAATGACATGGTGAAGTATGACTTTGTATGTGAAAAGGAACATATAATAAAGAGAAAATTCATAAATAAGACATAAACGTAACACATTCACATACATTCCTCCAAATATGACCATCGTCATTTTTATGCACTCCTAAAAGACGTTATAACTACTTGAATTCTTTAATACGACTGAATATTTCCTATTTTCTTATTAAACTCCGGGTTGTGCATACAATTCATGTTTTACTCATATATGCAACAATTTTTTTAGAATAAAAAGTAGAAAAAAACTACTTGTACACGAATTGTGTACACATTTTATGTACACACCCTAGTTGCCTGTGTACACGGGCAACTCGTTCAAAAGTTGCTTGTGTACACAGGAAGCTCGTTCAAAAGTTGCTTGTGTACACTATACATAGGCAACTAGGCGCATGCACACAAAATGTACACATTTCGTGTACAAGTAGCACAACCGTGAAAGGTATCATCCACTCACAAGCAAAAACTACATACAATAACATCATTTTGATCACTTCAAATTTAATTCCATTATGTAGAAAACATATATAACTATATACCCATTCATTTCATCCACTTTAGGGCTTATTTGGTAGGAAGATTTAGAAGGGACAGGTGATATTTATTTTTTCCATGATTTTTACATTTAGCTAGCTGGATATCTAGTCAAGATAACATTAATTTATAGAAAGTAGAAACACACGATCTAACTGTACATATAATTATTTCTATTTATAACCCAACAAATAGAGATAGATTACTAAAACAAAAAAACAACCATCCTTTCCCTTCGAAATCCCTGAGCCATGCAAGCCCTTAGTTTGTAAGCTCCTAGAGTGATTGCCCTGTTACTTGTAAATCATTCATAATATGTAAACAAACAAACAACAATAATATATGAACGGTTAAAAAATACCAATAATTCACATAGTACAGCATTTCATATACACTATTCTGTATGTAGACATTGGGGATCAAAAGCCTGAGCTGACAAAGTGACAAGTTAAATCGCTCCTCAGTGTCAACTCGGTCAAGGTCTGATGTTTAGCAATTGGGACCAGTTACTCAGGATTAGTCGGTGATTACTCGGCTTGGTTTTAGTAAAATTACTAATGTTTATTCCACAAAATTCTAGTAATATATGAACCTTGGGGAAGTATTAGTCTTATAACTTAATAAGTATTATACTATGATATAAAGAAAAATAATCAACAACAATTAAGGTTTAAGAAGTCAAAAAAGAATAGGAGAAAATAGAAGAAAAGAAAAAAGCAAGCATAAAAAAAGAAGATGGATAAGATAAAGAACTTACTGGGAGAGCAATGTCATTTAAATAATCTGTAAAATAACATTGGTACTTTCAAATTCCATGATTTTGTGATTTATATTAATTTACTACAATAAATGAACTATTTACTTCGAAATCCCATAGTATCCCGCTTTTAGTTTCAACCTTTCAAAAAAAAAAGAGAACTGAATTTTGGCTGACCGAATTACCCGGCATGTAATCCGAGTCACCAAAATCAGTGAGTACTTAGGGATTAACTCAGGATCTTGAAATAAAAAAGGTCGGTAACATATTCGGTGTTAACCCGAGTTGCGAGTACTCTGCGATTACTCACTAATTAGATAACATAGGGCTACAAGCCTACAATAGAAAAGCTTTGGCACCACCAATATCATCATCATCCCACGTAAATATGAATGCCAATAAATAGTTTAGGTCTTGTTTGGTTCAGGTACTTTGGAGTGACAGGCTGGAATGATTTTTTATATGCTAGTTTATATCTATTTATGATAGTATTAGTTTTACATCATGTATTCATGTATTTCTTTAGTCTAAAAATAACTTATATCATTCATTTCTTTAGTGTTTCTTATCTACATTTTATTCCAAAATCCAAACCATCTAGATGTAGGAATAGTTTTTAAAAAATCACTCTCATTCCATCTCCTCCGAAATGCCCCAACCAAACTCAAAGACTAAAGACCTAGAAAGAATAATCACTTTCATTAATCATCTCACTGCCTCACTCATTGGTATAGCATAATAGCAAGTGGTATTTTTTTGCATGATATGCTACTGCAGATATATTTCAAACTTTGGTAGAATATAATAAAGGATTACATGGCGAACTGGTATTATATACCCAGCACCCAAACAAAGATTTCACAGTACAATAAAGCACATTCTTACTTCCAAAGCACATAAGTCTACTAATAAAGCACTGCAATATTAAAAAGAATCCCGATTTAAATGAAAATGATATCAGCGCAAAGTCCGTCCTGTGAGGCATTTACGCAAACAGGTAGTGGTCAGACCCAAAGTAATAAAAAACAACCAACTTTCGGGAGAGAGAAGTATAGAGAAAAAAGAACAGGAAAGGGTAAAGGAGGAAGGCTTACACCGTGCTGGCGGGTGCCGGCATTGATGCGCTGGATCCATAGGGAGCGCATGTCGCGCTTCTTATTGCGGCGATCTCTGTAAGAATACTGTAGCGCCTTTTCCACCCTCTCCCTTGCTATTCTTATACAGTTCTTTGCTCTCCCTCTAAACCCCTTCGCTAGCTTCAACACCTCTTTCTTGTTCATCTCTTCTCTGTCCGCCTCTCTTTGATCTATTTTCCAGCTCTTTGGGTATTCTGGTGATGAAGGGCGGAGGACTCCGAAGGGAAGGGATGTACTCCATATTTAATTGATGAAATTTGGTGACTGATATGTTTAAACATTACTCGGTATATGTTTAAAACTTATTTGACAAATACGTTTGACAAAAAAATCGTCTCACACATTAGTGTGTAAAATGGCTAAAATGGATTTTCAAACTCCTAAATCTGGTTCTATTTCGTAAGAGTTGAGGTCTGATCTACTCTACTCTCTAGTGCAGGGAGTTTTAAGAGTCTAAAATGCCTAAAATGGATTTTCAAACTCCTAAATCTTTAGGTAAGGAGTTATAAATAGAAAGTGGTGAGCCTGTATTCTTAGGTGTATTGAATATGGATTGTGGTGAACTTTTTTTAATTCGTAGACTTTTAAAAATTCAATGAATTTTTAAATCCATAGGTTTTTTTATGAATGAATTCTATGAACTTTTAAATCCATGGATAAGTATATTGACTTTCAAAAAGTCCATAGACTTTTAAATGCGGGGCGCCACTGTTGATCGTCGAAATTTTCACCTAGATCGTCGCTACCGATCTGCTCGTCCACCTCCGTCACTGGAGTTCCCAGCCGTCGTCATTGAACTGATCCGCCACCAACAAAATCGATTTGGTTATGCAAGGGAACTAGGGACAATTAATTATAGGGAAAAGAGTCAGATAAGTCCTCGAACTTACATAAAAAGTCAAATAAGTCCTTATTTAGGAGGCTCTGTCCGGCCGTCACTATTTGGGGTGGTTCCCGGTGGAATTTTTTGATTAATTTTTTTGAACATCTTATTCATCAAGTCTAGTTTACTCATACCAAATTGCAGCTAAAAATTCAATCTGGAAGACATTCAAATGAATTCTTGAATATAACCGCGCAATTAAAAGTGCGGTTATCTGCAAGAATTCATTTGAATGTCTTCCAGGTTGAATTTTTAGCTGCAATTTGGTATGAGTAAACTAGCCTCATAAATAAGGAATTATTTGACTTTTTTATGTAAGTTCGAGGACTTATCTGACTCTTTTCCCTTTCCAATTAATATGGCCTAAGGATCAATATTAATATGTGTTCTATAATCAAGCCTAAAAATAGACACATTTATTATTTATGTATTACATATACATGTATTATTTGATAGAAATAATACTTAAATGGCACCATTATGGTTACACCATTTAGAGCAAAATATGAAAGGTTGTGATTATTGGTTATTCACCGATAGATACTACTTCTCCCCTTCCTTAACCAGACACAGGTATGTACAACACCATCAAGTGGAAAGCAACACAACTCTTAAAATATACTCCATCTATCATTTGTCCTATACGTGATTACACATACATCTCTTCAAAGCAATGACATCATCTTCATCCAAACTCTTCTAAATGAACATTGAATATTCTTCAAGTAAGCCCCTATGAATTTACCATCATGACCTATTGAGTGATGTTATTTGACCTTGGTTAAATATGATGATTAATTTTCTATCAAAGTGTAACTTGAGGTGTATAACAAGCACTACTAAAATGAAAAAGTATATGGGGGTGGAGGAAATGAGGGGAAGATTTCTGCGCGAGTATGGATCCTCAAAGAAAAAGAAAAACTATATCAAATTTCATACATTTTAATGATCTTTCATATGACATCAATATGACATAAATAAATTTTTAAAAGAAAAACTGAAATTCCAACTTCATGAGTTTTTATGCCTAAAGTTTTACATTGAACTGTGCATTTTTATTTCATAATTATCTAGGGGGGAAATCCGTAAAAAGATTCACTTATAATAATTTAATTGATATTTTACTAAACGAATACATAAAATTATATTATGTGTATTTTAATGACGATGTAGGGATGTAGAGAACATCAATATTGGCAGAGTATTTTTTCAAACGTCGGAGTCCTTATTCAAAGACTCGCCCATTATACTCCAATGCAAAAGTGATGGTATCTGAATAAAAAAGCGGGGCATTTTTATCAATAATTTCAAAAAATGGGAGACTCTAATTGGTCAGTTGGTCTGCTCGCTTGCGCCTCGCGTTCCTCGCCCCTGCTTTGACGATTAGTTTAGGAATTAGGCAAAAACGTTTTAGTTATGGGCTGCAGGCGGCTGGGCTGGGCCAATCCCGATTGGCCCAATTTTTTTATTCCCAACCCAATACAAAACGACGTAGTTTTGTTAAATTAAAAAAAGTCCTTCCTCCTCACTCAGTCGCAGCACAGAACGGTTCCAGTCCTGGCAATTCACCGGAAATCTCAACGCAGACCACCGGCGGCCCCCATACCCCCATATCTCCGGCGGCCGAAGCAGGGGCATCGGCCCCCCTTGCCCCCCGGCAGTTCCGTCCCTGATTGTTACATTCGATTGGAAAATCATTTGGTTAGTTCTACTCAACTTGACCATCAAGGGGGTGTGGGGTGGGGGGACCGCATTGGAAGCATGAGACAAATGGAAGGGTGTACTGGTTTGGGTCCTCTTTTGATGGATTTCATCTCAGGGGTGGAGCGAATGGGGGTGCTCGAGTGAGACGATTTCTGGATCGATTCCTCAGTAACGGAGAAGACAGATTGTCGGTCCGCCCCCCTCATGAACTGCCTTCCTAGAGTGATCGAGATGCTAGGCTTTGCAACTTGATACTTTCATAATACTAATAGAAAGGAGCTTGAAGTATTTATCGGTTTTTTTTAATTTTTTATATATGATCTTACTTTCGCGTTATGTTTGTTTATGTTTTATGTTTTTTGTTGATGTTTAGTTTTAGGTCTACAATAATGATTGACAATTTTGCTAGATATTATGTCGTTGGAAAGATCTATATGGTCAATGATTGCTGCATCACACCTGTTTGGTGGTTAGCGATTCATATTGCTCTTTCAGGGGTGATCGTTTCCATGTCTAACTGTATGGTTGATAGTGCTGGTTGGTTACAGATAGTTGTTGTCAGTGTTGGTGTCTTTGAGTTTGTTATAACGACCAGAATCCCAATGATATTAATATAAGCGGTTTTTCTTTTCAAAAAAAGATTAGACCCATTTTAATTCTTCGCTCCTAGGCACATTTTTTTATTAAGATTTACTGATTGCAGGTGTACCTTCCTATATTTGCAAGGGAATGGAAAGTGTCCTTTTTATACCCTATATCTATGTGTGTTACGTACATTGGTGTATCCAGAAAATTCGGTCAGTGGAGCAAATTCTCCTATAATATACTATCACACCATTTTCAGATACAAATATTAATTGGACAATCAATAGTTTAATAAAAAATGTAAGAAACGAATGAAATATGTAGCTATAACTAATTTAAGTTGCAAATAAATAGTTACGGAATATGTTTTAATATTGAGTCTGAAAAGATGTGATTGGAATTACATATCTGATGGATAGTGTACCCGGGGGTAACTTAGCCGAGAGATATTATAAGAAATATCAAGAGAGAGGTCAGAGCAAGTAAGAGAGAGAGAGTGAGTATATATTCGATATATCTGTTGTGTTGTCATTACAATGGAAAATGACTACTATTTATAGCACCCATAAATGCTAGGGGCAATAATCGAAAGGGCACATGTCAAGCAGCCAACAGATGGGGGGTCAAATCACCCAAGGTGGTGCCGACATGCGTATGTGGCCGCATTCAATGCGGTGGGTTGGGTGTGACGTTGCATTTAATGCGGTGATTCAGCGCATGTGGAGAGGAGATCTTGTCGGGAAAAGCGCCTTCGGCTGTGCGTACTAGGGCATTCATGTCCCGAAGGCTATACACACCCGGGGGCATCATGTGCCGAAGGCTGTAAATGCCGAAGGCTCGCTATTCAAGCCTTGTTCCCAAGCGATTTTCTGGACCAGGTTCAATCATTTGTTTAGTATAGAGCCTTCGGGCATGGGGCCGAAGGCACACCTTGCGTAGTATGGGCTGCGCGGAGTCTTGTTTGCCGTGCTTGGGCCAACCTGGGCCTGTATGTTGGGTCTGATCGTAGTATTGGAAGTATGTGGGTCGGGGTTTCATGGGTCATATACTCCATCAATATCATTTATTAGTTACACAAAAAAATATTTTCAATTTATTTGGATCTTAAATTTGAGTTAAATATACGAGTATTAGCCATAAACAGGACTAAAAGTAACCCAAAATTCCACATTATGACTATACTTCTTTTATTCTTATTCCACCCACAAGCTATAATTTCTAATAGATTTATTTAATAACAACAAAAATCATAATTTTATTTATAATAAAAACATAAAAAATCATAACAGATTTATAAAATAATAAAAAAGGGACAGAATAAAAAATTAAAAAAATAAAATAATATATATATATATATAAACAACTAAAAAAATCTAAAAAATAAAATAAAAAAATATTAAAAAATATGTAGGCTACCACCTCCACAACCCCCACCTCCAAGCACCACCGATACAATTTGAAAATATCCACCTTTCTTTTCAAAATTGTCATCACGATGACATTTTTTCCCAACTTGGCAATCTTTTCCGACGATCGAAGGTGGCGGTGCTAGAAGGTGGCTGAGGCGGTGGTTGAGGTCTGTATTGTTTTTATTTGTTTTTTACAATTTTTAATTTTAATTTTAATTTTATTATGTTTTATAATGATTATTTAAGAAATCCTATTAGGAAGGACAAGAAAAATGGTAGAATAGGAAGAGTTAGTCCTATTTTGAGAGTTTAAACTTTAAACTCCTATTTGATAGATTATAATCTAGAGAGAAGGGAGAGCTAGAGAGATAAAGTAATATGTATAAATAATTTTCCAACCCTTTACATGGCTCCCATAGGGAGTATTTATAGGAGAAAAGTGGGCTGGGCTTTCAGGCTTGGGCCTGACAGGCCCAATTACAATAAAGGGCCAATAAATGGCTAATAAATGATATTCAATCTATTCTAATGGGTATACATGAATAAATAGAGTGTACAATGAGATAAATGATATCTACTAAGCGTACGTGAGCTGCTGTCCGAGCCCAATAGTCATGAGATCGGGGGTCTGAGTCCATATAATCTATCAGGAGTCCCCCACTCCCTGAGTCGAGAGTACTCGAGGCGAAAGGGATCGAGTAGAACTGTGTGCGGATCTGTCGTCGTCTGGTGAGTAAACTTCATGAAAAATTTTGAAATTGTGCTTCTTCGATCAACAGAGGCGTTAAGTCTCCCGCTCTTCCAGTCCCCCACTCCATGAGGCACTTGTAATGAGGTGAAAAGGAGTAGAGTAACACATGTCTTCAATAGGGGCTGAGGGTCGACACCTTTTGATCCACAATGGGGAGATGCCTCGTTAAAAACCTCATTAGAAAAACCCCAGTGGGAAAAAATCCTAATGAGGGAAAAAGAGTACACCGGATGCCTCCAAAATGAAGCAAAAGGGGTGAGCCCTTCGGCTTAGGTGTGGAGCTGCAGCGGTGTCCGTCTCCTGAGGCGATGGCCGAGACTAGTCTCCAGATGTGAGTAGCTCGGCATGATAAGTAGTCCCAGTCATCAAATAAAGATGACTAAGAGATAGGTTGAGTGACCGTCCATAATGTGATGTCCAAGTCATCAAGCAAAGATGACTAGTAGATATATGACCGTGGGACCTGTATGAGATCCACGTCATCACATAAAGATGACGGGTCGATATATGGCCGATGAGCCTATATGAGATATCCACGTCATCAAATAAAGATGATTGAGCGATGTATGGCCGAGGGGCCTGTATGAGAGCTCCAAATCATAAAATAAAGATGATGGGGTGATGTATGGTCGATGACCCCATAAATGAGCTTTGCATCATCAAATAAAGATGACAGAGCGATATATGGCCGATGGGCCCGTAAATGAGCTTCGCGTCATCAAATAAAGATGACGAAGCGATATGCAGCCGATGGCATGTAAATGAGCTTCGCGTCATCAAATAAAGATGACGGAGCGATATATGGCCGATTGGGCCTGTAAATGAGTTTCGTGTCATCAAATAAAGATGACGGAGCTATATTTGGCCGATGGGCCCGTAAATGAGCTTCACGCCATCAAATAAAGATGACGGAGCGATATGTGGCCGATGGGCCTGTAAATGAGCCTCACGTCATCAAATAAAGATGATGGGGCGGTACGTGGCCGATGGGCCTACAAATGAGCTTCACGTCATCAAATAATGATGATGGGGCGGTATATGGCTGATTAGGCCTGTGGCTGAACTCTGGGTTCTTTTAGCCTTTCAATTGGAGACCGCAAGATGTTCGCTATATCTGAATATGAGGACGAGATGATGGACGCCTGGTTGAATATGAGGACGATGGCACTGATGAGTCGGTCCGAATATGAGGACGAAGCGGTGGACGCCTGTCGGAATATGAGGATGACAGCACTGATGAGTCGGTCTGAATATGAGGACGAGGCGATGGACACCTGTCTGAATATGAGGACGAGGCGATGGACGCCTGTCTGAATATGAGGACGACGACACTGATGAGTCGGTCCGAATATGAAGGCGATGATCGCTTGTCTGGGAAGGGAGTAGCGAGCCCAATCGCTATAACAAGACTTCAGCGCTGGGAGCTACTCTTGAGATAAATAATCACGCCGAGGCCGAGGGGCTGGTCGTGATGTGCAGACGACGATGAGAAGGAGCCAATCCGAAATATGATGACGAGGCGATGGAAAGTCGTTCATCATATGAAGGCAACGGTCACTATTTAGGAAGGGAATGGCGAGTCCAGTCGCTAGATAAAGACTTCGGCGCTGAGGCCGGTCCGAATATGATGACGAGGCGAATATAAGTTGTTTGTCATATGAAGGCGACAGTCGCATACCCGGGAACGGAATAGCGGGCCCAATCACTAGCTCAAGACTCCCGGCGCTGAGAAAGACGGTCGTGAGATAGAGCATCACGTCATAACCAAGGGGCTGGTCGTGATGTGAGGACGATGGCGATGATGAGCCAGTCCAATAATATGATGACGTGGCGATGATGAGCTGGTCATCATATAGAGGTGATGGTCACCATCCAAGAAGGGATGGTGAGCCTGATCTCTAGCTCAAGACTCTCGACGCTGAGGAAGCTGACCTTGAGATAGAGCATCACGCCATAGCTGAGGGGCTGATCGTGATGTGAGGATGACGGTGATGATGAGCCGGTCCAATAATATGACGACGGGGCAATGATGAGTCGACCGTCATATAAAGACGATGGTCACCATCCAAGAAGTGATGGCGAGCCCTATCAATAGCTCAAGACTCTCGGCGCTGAGGAAGGTGGTCTTGAGATAGAGCATCACACCATAGCCGAGGGAGTCGTCGTGATGTGAGGACCACGTCGATGATGATCCAGTCCAATAATATGATGACGGGGTGATGATGAGCCGTCCGTCATATAGAGGCGATGGTCACCATCCAGGAAATGATGGTGAGCCCGATCGCTAGCTCAAGACTCTCGGCACTGAGGAAGCCGGACTTGAGATAGAGCATCACGCCATAGCCGAGGGACTGGTCATGATGTGAGGATGACGGCGACGAGAAGCTGGTCCAATAAATGATGTCGAGGCGATGATGAAGCTGATCGTCATATAAAGGCGACGGTTGCTTATCCGGGAAGGGAATAGCCAGCCCAGTCGCTAGCTCAAGACTCTCGGTGCTGAGGAAGTTGGTCTTGAGATAGAGCATCATGCCAAAGCCGAGGGGCTGGTCGTGATGTGAGGACGACAACGATGATGAGTCGGTCCAATATATGATGATGAGGCGATGATGAAGCCGATCGTCATATAAAGGTGATGGTCGCTTATCCGGGAAGGGAATAGCGAGCCCAGTCGCTAGCTCAAGACTCTCGGCGCTGAGGAAGCCGGTCTTGAGATGGAGCATCACGCCATAGCCGAGGGGCTGGTCGTTATGTGAGGACGACGACGATGATGAGTCGGTCCAATATATGATGACAAAGTGATGATGAAGCCGATCGTCATATAAAGGCAACGGTCGCTTATCCGGGAAGGGAATAACGAGCCCGATCACTAGCTCAAGACACTTGACGCTGAGGAAACCGGTCTTGAGATAGATAATCACGTTGAGGCCAAGGGGCCGATCGTGATATGAGGAAATCAATGATGATGAGGAGTAGGGGTGAGCATAACCCGAACCCACCCGAAAACCCGATCGGGTCTGCCCTCTTCTAGCTGATTGGGTCGGTTGACCCGAACCCGAAAACCCGAACCGAAAAGCCCAGCCCATGTTTTAAGGGTTATGGGTTACGGGTAGGGTATTATAAATCCCTACCCGACCCGCCCGAATACCCGAACTACCAATACTATATATACTATTTATTTATCACTAACCCTAACCCTAACTGCCTAACACTCCAGCGCCTCCACTCTTCAGTCTTCACTCGCAACTCCCTCTCTCGATCTCTCGTACTGCGAGTCTGCGACTTCTCTCTAACCATCCCTGTCAACTCTCCGTCGTAGGTCCGACCTCTGTAGTGTATTTGTACCTCCGGACTCCCGTGGAAGCTTGTACTCTCGATCTCTCACTCTCTCGGTCTCTCTTACTGAGGTATAAACGTTAAATACCTAAACTGTATGGTTGGTGGTTTGGTGGAAGCATGATCCATAAGTGTGATGTGTTATCTGTTTTGTATATGAATTAGTTGTATTATTTTGATGCACTAGATTCGGACCCTGATACCCTTTCTATGAATTAGTTGTATATGAATCTGTTTTGGTGGAAGCTTGAAACCCTAGATTCGGACCCTGATACCCTGAACTACCTGTTAATCTATGATGCTTTGGTCATGCATATGAATATATGATTATATGAATCTATGATTCTGAGATTTTGATATAAATGGTCTCTGAATATGTGCTGCCTCGATGATGCATGTGTGATTCTGAGATTTTTATATAAGTGGCCCCTGAGTAAAGATGATGGTTGATTTATTATGAGTTCTGAGTCTCTGAACAAGTGTTGAAGTTGCCTTTTTCTACTCTAACACTCAAATGAGTAGTTAGAGTGAACTGGTATCTTCTAAGTCTGTAGAGAAGTGAATAAGCCTACTGCTTATATCCTTCTGTAGATCAGCTTGCTGATTGTTCCAGACTTTAATTTCAATGTATGATGTTGTGTTCAATCTGGAAGCTTGCATTATTGAGTTTTTTGAACTATAACTTCCTATCATTTATCAGAATGGAAGTTGCCTTTTTCTACTCTAACACTCAAATGAGTAGTTAGAGTGAACTGGTATCTTCTAAGTCTGTAGAGAAGTGAATAAGCCTACTGCTTATATCCTTCTGTAGATCAGCTTGCTGATTGTTCCAGACTTTAATTTCAATGTATGATGTTGTGTTCAATCTGGAAGCTTGCATTATTGAGTTTTTTGAACTATAACTTCCTATCATTTATCAGAATGGAAGTTGCCTTTTTCTACTCTAACACTCAAATGAGTAGTTAGAGTGAACTGGTATCTTCTAAGTCTGTAGAGAAGTGAATAAGCCTACTGCTTATATCCTTCTGTAGATCAGCTTGCTGATTGTTCCAGACTTTAATTTCAATGTATGATGTTGTGTTCAATCTGGAAGCTTGCATTATTGAGTTTTTTGAACTATAACTTCCTATCATTTATCAGAATGGAAGTTGAATGTATGGATACCATACCTGCATCTGGCTCTCAACCTCCTTTGACTCCTGTTTCCCAAGAACCTATGATGGAAGCTCATGATGCTGGGGCTAACACCAGCACACAACAGACTAATGTTCCTGGAAATAAGAGAAAGGAGGTAGAGTCCAGATCTAGAATATGGGATCAATTTGAAAAGATCAAAGATAGTAATGGTGTTGTTGTCAAAGGAAAATGCATACATTGTGCTAAAATATATTGTTGTCAGTCTAAGAAGCATGGCACTTCCTCTCTTAGAAATCACATACTGAGTTGTCTGAAATTGCCTGCCTCAAAGGATGCTAGGCAAGCCCTTCTCACTTTCCAACCAGTCTTGTGTAATCCAACATCTGAAAAAATTGGGGTGTTAGGGACTTGGGTGTTTGATCAGGTTGCAATTAGGAGAGCACTTGCTGAAATGCTTATCATTCATGAGCTGTCATTTAGATTTGTGGACAGACAAGGATTTAGGAAGTTTATCTCTGTAGCTTGTCCTAGGTTCCAAATTCCTTCCAGATGGACAATTACTAGAGATATCTACCAAATCTTCTTAGATGAGAAATTAAGTCTGAAAAGGTTGTTTAGGGAACACACTCAGAGGGTCAGTATAACAACTGACACATGGACCTCTGTACAAAGGATCAATTACATGTGTATAACTGCACATTTCATTGATAATGAGTGGAAGCTGAATAAAAAAATAATTTCCTTTGTTCCTGTGACTTCCCACAAAGGAGAGTACTTAGCTAAAGCCCTAGAGTCTTGCCTAGTAGATTGGGGTTTGAAATCTATCTTCACTGTAACTGTTGACAATGCAAGCAGTAATGACACTGCAATTGGTTTTTTTAAAAAGAAGCTTTTATCTTGGGGTGCCTCTTCTGTAAAAGTTAAGTACCTTCATATGAGGTGTATTGCTCATATCCTTAATTTGGCTGTCCAAGATGGTTTAAAAGAAAGTGATTCTTCTGTTCAAAGAGTGAGGGATGCTGTTAAGTATGTTAGAAATTCTCCTGCTAGGCTTCAAAAATTCAAGGACATTTCAGACTTGATTGGAATGGAAACTAAAGCTGGATTGCACCTAGATGTCCCAACTAGGTGGAATTCAACCTATTTGATGCTCAAATCTGCAATGTCCAATGAAAAAGTGTTTGAAGCTTATGAGGAGAATGAGAGTTCCTATCTTGTTGATCTGGGGAGTGAGAGTCCTGATGTTGGGGACTGGATTGCAATTGAAACTTTGGTGGTCATTCTTAAAAATTTCTATGATATGACAGTTAGGATTTCAGGCTCTCTTTATGTCACTGCAAATACCTTCTTCTCTGAAATATCTGATCTGTTCCTTGTTCTCAAAGAGATGGTTGCTTCTGAAACTGAATCTGTATCTAATATGGCGACTAGTATGAAATCCAAACTGGACAAGTACTGGGGTGATCCAGAAAAAATGAACATGCTCATTTTCTTTTCAAATGTGCTAGACCCTAGAGACAAATATGAGTACATGCCACATCAATTGAATGCTTTGTATGGCGATAAGATAGGTGAGGCATTCTTTGCGAAGATAAAGCTGGGTTTGAATGAGTTGTATGGTGATTATGTTACAAACTATGATGTTTCAGTGAGTGGAAGCTCTCAATTAAGCCCCAGTTCTGTTTCTTCACAATCTGAGTCAACTGAAAGTAGGCCTGTCTCAAAATTCAAAGCCCAATTGAAAAAGCAAAAACAAGATAGTGGCCTCTTAGGGTTGAAAAAAAATGAACTTGAACTATATTTGAGTGAGAACATTCTTGAGGAGGACAATGAATTTGATATACTGAGATGGTGGAAGCTTAATGGTGAGAGGCTTCCTATCCTATCTAAGATGGCAAGAGACATTCTTGCTGTTCCTATTTCCACAGTAGCATCTGAGTCCACTTTTAGTACAAGTGGAAGAGTGTTGGACTGTTTTAGGAGTTCTTTGAGTGCCAAAATTGTAGAAGCACTCATATGTGCTCAAGATTGGTTGAGGATGTCAAACCAGCCTGTGTCAGTTGAAGAAAATATTGAGGAGGTAGAAAGGCTGGAAACAGGTACTAACTTTTACTTATATAATATTCAGTGTTTATATTTATACATATTGTTAAATTCTTATTGTTTTCAATGCAGAATTAACTGATGGAAATGTTGGTGGAGGCTCTTCTCTTGATCAGATAGTAGTATACTTTTTACCTTTATCTTTTAGATATGTAATATATTATATTATTATTTCACTAATGATTTGCTATATATGCTTCTGTCAATGATCTGGTTGTAAAAGCCTAACCATGTTGCTGTCATGGCATTGGAAGTGTTGTTGATTCATTGGTACAATTTCTCCTAATTACTGTGTTTGTACTTTGCCCAACAAGACATGGTAATCTTCTTTCACTCTTGAGTTAATTGATTAAGTGTAGCATGTATCTGACAATGATGATAGCTTCCACCAAAAATGAAATTGATGGGTTGGTGTTGATTCTATTTCCATATAGTTTCGTATGCCCCCATTAATAGTGAAGTCAATTTAAATCTGAGCCAAATATAACAACATACATGCTGCCTTAATGGAAGTACTGGAATTTGGTAATGTGAACATTGAGTTAATTGATTAAGTGTAGCATGTATCTGGCAATGATGATAGCTTCCACCAAAAATGAAATTGATGGGTTGGTGTTGATTCTATTTCCATATACTTTCGTATGCCCCCATTAATAGTGAAGTCAATTTAAATCTGAGCCAAATATAACAACATACATGTTGCCACTTAGACAGTAAACTGGAATTTGCTTATGCATATGTATTTATGACTTCTGACTTATTAGATTAATTGTTGCATTATTTAATCAGTAATGATAGTTTCCACCAAAAAATTAAATTAAGAATACAAAACCGAGTCAAATTAAGGATATGTTGCTTCCTGCCTTGGTTTTACTACTGCAATTTTCCTATGTACTTATGAATTATGAGTTCTTACATGAATTGTTTACTCAATTAGTTATTTTGGCAATGAGGATGGCTTCTAGCCTTCTACAGTTCTACCAGAAAATAAAATAAATGGGTTTGGTGTTGATTCTAATTATATAGTGATTAATGCCCCCATTATTAGTGAACTGAAATTAAATCTGAGCCAAATCTTATTGTATTTCTATATACTTTTGAATTGTTTATAGTTCCCACTTCCCAAGTTCCCAGAAAATAATAATGATAATAATGACACTAAACACTTCCCAGTTTAGTGTTTTATGATACTAATGTGTTTGTGACTTACATAGGAACAAAATCAATGACTGTTCGGTTGATGATCTGCGAAATTGATGAAACCTGGAATTCTGGAAACACTCTAGTAGACTAGTAGTCAAGTAGATGTCAAGAGTCAAGATCTGAAGACTTGTACATCAATTGAATGTTGTTAAACTTTTTGTTGGTACTTGCTGTTTTGGAACATTTGATTGCTCAAACTGTAAATGTTAAACTGCTTTGTGCATAAGCAGTATAACTGTGTAAGTGTTAATGTATGAATGTATAAGTGTTAAGTGTATAAGTTATAAACTTATAACTATTAGCCATGTGTTTGGACTTGTACAAACTCTACTAATTTTGCAATTGCTTTTGATAACATATTAATATGTATTTTATTTGTGTTTGTAAAGTCTAATCCAACATTTTTTTTTCAAGGTGATTTTATGAATTATTTGTGTTATGTGTTTAATGGATTTAATCAGCCCGAATGGCCCCGAAAACCGATTAAAACCGACCCAAATCCGAAATTGTGCAACCCGATTAGACCGAATTTTTTTTGGACGGGGTAGGGTTTTATATTCTCAGCCCGATAACCGAAAGGGTATGCAAAAACCCAACCCGTCCTACCCGAACCCGTCCGATGCTCTCCCCTAATGAGGAGCCAGTCCGAAATATGATGACGAGGCGATGATGAGCCGATCGTCATATAAAGGCGACAATCGCTATGATGGAAGGGAATGGCGAGCCCGGTCACTGGATAAGACTTCGGCGCTGGGCGCCGGTCAGAATATGAGGATGAGGCAATGATAAGTCGTGTGTCATACGAAGGAAACACTCACCATCTACGAAGGGAATGGCGAGCCCAGTCGCTAGATAAAGACTTCAGCGCTGGGGGCCGGTCTGAATATGAGGACGAGGCGATGATAAGCCGTGCATCATATCAAGGCGACGATCACCATCCAGGAAGGGAATGGCGAGACCGGTTGTTGGATAAAACTTCGGCTTTGGGCGCCAGTTAGAATATGACGACGAGGCAGTGATAAGCCGTTCGTCATATGAAGGCGACGGTCACCATCTAGGAAGGGAATGGCGAGCCCGATCGCTAACTCAAAACACTCGG